AAGGGAGGCACAATGTGCGGGAAAAATCATACTAGATGTGGTATTCGGCACGCCAGATAATTACAGGTCGAAGAAATAACATTTCAAGTGGTCTCCTTCAGCATCGGATACCACGCCCTCTTGGGGCGAGACGCATTCGCGAGCTTCCGAACTATACCCCACTATGGATACATGAAGCTCAAGATGCCTGGACCTAATGGAATCATCACCCTTGCTAGTGATCAGGACATAGCACTCTGCGCCAAAAATAAAACCGCCGCCCTAGCCCTAGAGGCATTATCCGAAGCCCTCGCGGCCGAAGAGCTAACTGCATTACACTCCACAGTGGATAGGGATGACGTGATACTCGATAAACGATCCAAGTCCACCTCCTTTAAACCAGCGGACGAAATTGTCAAATTCCAAGTCCACCCAACGGACTCAACGAAAACAGCATCCATCGGGGCAAAGCTGGACCCCACCATCGATGCCGCACTGCGAACATTCCTACGCGAGAATTGGGACATCTTCGCCTGGCACCCCTCAGACATGCCAAGAATCCCACGTAGGCTGGCCGAGCATAGCCTCAACATATTGAAGGGATATAAACCGGTCAAGCAGACACTTAGACGCTTTTCCGAACCCAAACGACAAGCCATGGGAGAGGAGCTGGCCAAGCTACTTTAAGCCGGATTCATTAGAGAAATTAAACACCCGGATTGGCTAGCAAACCTGGTGATGGTACCAAAGAAGGACAAATCCTGGCGCTTGTGCGTCGATTTCAAAGATGACAAACCTGATGACGGGACAGGACGGACCGCCAAATCTAGACAAATCTCGAGAAAAAATGGAGTTTGGACAAGGAGCTTCGAGAGGATAAAGCTTAAGTGTGGCTCGGACATTTCATGGAACACCTCATGTGCATAGGAGGCGAGCTAGAGCACCACAAAGCTCTTCAACGGCCGGCCAGAAAAACATAGCTGTGGAGTGCTTTGCTCGCGAGGAAGGGGGTATATATAAGCAACTCATTGGTCTCGGTTCGTGGCTGGAACCAGGACTAAAGGACACCCTTTGGCCCCGCTTCATGCCACCAATCGGGACCAATGGTGGTGGGCCAGGAGCGAGGGACAAAATGTGCATGTTCGTGTTTGGAACCAGGACCAATGCCCCACGATGGCCCGGTCGCCCCCCTGGCCTCACGAACCAGGACCTATGCCCGCATGGGTCCCGGTTCATGACTGAACCGGGACTAATGGGCTGATTCGGACTGAACCAAAAGCCCTGTTTTCTACTAGTGAGAGAGAGAGTCGCTAGGGATATATATTTAGGTTGAGGTTCATTGGACTTCGGTCGAAAAAATCCATAGTAATGGGCAGTTATCCGGAATATTACGAGGTAGAATCTGTATTAGAGTCCAATGTTTCGCAGTTGTAATGGCACATCAATGATGGCTTGTTCCCTTAGCAGAATATGTATTAGAGTCACCAATGTGAGTTCACTTTCTTTTGCGGAAAAAACATTCAATCTACACATTCACTGTCAAGGTAGTACAAAGAACACTAGAAGTAAAAAATACATTCATGTCCATAGACCGCCTAGCGACGACTACAAACACTGGAGCGAGCCAAAGGCGCGCCGCTGTAATTGCCTCTCCATCACCGGAGCCGGGCAAGCCTTGTTATAGTAGACAGTCGGGAAGTCATCGTACTAAGGTCTCAGAGGACCAGCGCACCAGATGAACAACCGCCGCTAATGAAGAAAGGCGTAGATCGAAAGGATTCAACCTGTAAACACACGGATATAGATGAGCGAAGATCGGATCCAAGCGGATCCACTAAAAACAAACGCTGAACGAGTCATGCGAGATCCACTAGAGACTAACCTCCACACGCCCTCCGACAGCGCTAAAAGAATCACCTGGACGGGGGATAAGCGGAGAAAACCTTATTCCATCTTCAAGAAGCTGCCACCGCCTCGCCTTCCTAAGGACACAAACTCTACCAAAACATAAGAAAATAACTAAAAACGAAGCCTTCCCGCCAGTAAGGACCGGGGTCCACCTCACCTCCATGGCCCTAAGGCCACAAGAGCGAGGTAGACCGATGGGTGCGCGGCTGGAGGCAGCGAAACCCTAGCATTGGGTGTGCTGGGAGCATGAGGAGCGAAGCATAAATATAATATTTTTATGAATAGTTCTCGGCTGCCCCGATAGTGTAAGTATTGCCAATGACGGTCCACTCTAACCAATCATTTGTAGACGATCACCAATGCC